TCCCATACGGTAGGCGTTCATCGGCTGTAACGCAGGGCCAAACTCATCCAAATTCACAGTCTCGTAGGCTCCCAACGCACCTGGCTGATAATACCTGTATTTTAAACCTTTCGACAACGCATCAACCACTGCCGTTTGAATCGGGGTTGACATACACAGAGCTTTAAAATTCACCGTCAGCCGAGCGAGCGCTTTGGGCATCAAGTGAGTGCTTTGGATAGTGACCGCGAGCAGACACTCACCGCGAGCGCACAGTCACCGCGAGCACACAGTCACCGCGAGCGCACACTCACCAGCGATGTCCCCCCCCCCCCTCGTATCGCGTTTGCAGCCGCTCGCGTTTCGGGACGGACAAACGAACACAAATCTAAGCGCAGCCTGTGCGTAGGGGTCTGGATCGGCGGCTGCCAGTGTTAAAAAGTCGTGGTCCATGTGGTAAGCATTTTGATAGCCGTGTGGTTTGGTGAATAGACTTCAGTGAGTCAGGGAGGCCCATGTTGCTTTGGGCACTGTGGTTCGCCACTGAGGTCTCTGGAGCCGGCGAGGATGACGTCGGTGAAGGAGAGTAGTCTGTTATAGAAGCTGGACTGGTTTAGCCAGTAGTAGCCATGCCATAGAAGTTTACTGCCACGACCCCCAAAGATGGTGAAGCCCTTTGGTGCTGGTGTATTTTTTCTGATGTTGATATTGAGCACAGCATTTCCATCACCGATATAAGACATAGCACCACTATCACTAGGACTGAATGGTAAATGAGGAATGAGCTTTGGTTTACTCATAGCTCTGTTAAGACTGGTTCCTAGATAGCCTCCGGCTTGTTTAGCGATTTGTGCCGTTGGAATTGGTGGTTTGTAGCCATCGTCGAGTTCCTTAAGTAAGCTCTTGAATTGTGCGACAGATAACTTCTGATGGAGAGGCCACCTCTCGAGTGTCCCTTTCAACCGCCATTGACGTTTGTCCAGTTGTACATAATTGAGCTTCAATAATCGCAATCGGTTCTTCATTAACCAGTCCACACATGGACCAGTATTGGAATTGACGGCCTCCGAAAAAAATACGTCAGCATGATCAGCCAGTGACGGTGGTGAGACCATGGCGCAATCTCCAAATGCAAATACTCTTTCGCAGCCCTGCAGACGCAGATCAGGCTCCACTTTGAGCACGCGATTTTCAGGCTGCAATTTCATCAATAACTTCCGCGCAAAACAAGTCTGACCAACTCCTGACGCCCAAACCAACATCTCATACGGAATCACCTTCTCCTCATCCGTACCTAATGCCTTTAGATGCACCGCCTTCTCATCCACCTTCTGTACTTGGTGCCTCAATAACGTTACGACCCCCGGAGCTGTCTCCAACTTCTCCGTAGCAAACTTCGAAATCGGCTTTTTAAACTGAGGCAACAATCTATCCAACATCTCCACAATCGTAATCTTAGCCTTCTCTGCCAACTCCGGAAACTGTACTCTTAACTCATTCCGGATCAAGTCGTTTATCTCCGCCACTGTCTCCACTCCAGCCGGACCACCTCCAACAACTACAATGTTTATTTCTTCCTTACTACCTTGGTCCTTACCACCTTGGTCCTTACCACCTTGGTCCTTACCACCTTGGTCCTTACCACCTTGGTCCTTTCCTTTTTGATAGTTCCTCAGCCTTTTCTCTGCATTGCAGAAGAGATTGAGGAGATCAGCCTTGATCTTCACGGCGTCTGCGATGTCCTTGACAAACACAGAGTGCTCTTGTGCGCCAGGTATACCAAAGGTGTTGGTCACGCTACCAACCCCGATGGCTAGTTGATCGTAACCGACCTCGAGTGGATCTCCCTCGTTGTCTTTACAATGGACGACGTGTTTCTCAGTGTCTATGTCGACCGCTTCGGCCTTCACGTATTGAATCACACGACGTTTACGACCCCACAAGAGTCGGCTGCGGATAGGTTCCATAATGGCACGCATGCTTAGGCTGCCACTAATGGTACCTGTCAGTAACGGCGTGAACAAGAAGTACGGGCGGGGGCTAATCACTGTCACTTTGTACTTGGAAGGATCAATCTGCTTCGTCATATAGTACGACGCCCATCCTGTTCCAAGAATTACCAACTCTGGACGATCCTCTCGCAGCTCCTTTCTTAAAGCGCTAAAAAAACCCAAGTACTGGTTGCTCTCACGGATGCTGGCTGGTTGCTCTCACGGATGCTGGCTGGTTGCTCTCTCATGGATGCTGGCTGGTTGCTCTCTCATGGATGCTGGCTGGTTGCTCTCTCATGGATGCTGGCTGGTTGCTCTCTCATGGATGCTGGCTGGTTGCTCTCTCAAGTAGTGATAAATTTGGTTCTTACTTGTACAAGCACGCTTTACAT